GATCTTGTGAAAAGGGTCACAAATAAGTCCTCTTTAAAGGAGCAGTTCACCCACAACTGAAAACTGTTCACTTGCTCCACACATTTTTCAGTTTCTTTGTTCTGTTAAGCAAAATTAAGCACATATTTTGAAGAAATCTGTAAACTGTTGAGCATTTGCTTTTTAAGTATTTGCTTTTCATTGGTTACTGGTTTCAAAAGTGTATTTAAAGGGGACCTATTATTCAAAAATCACTTTTATAAGAGGTTTACACAGTTGTGTGGCAAAAACAACCAGCTTATAATGGTTAAAAATGATTCATTGTATTGTTTATAATCACACTTGATAAAAACAGTCTGCAGAAACACTTTGATTGACATTCTCCCTTTGTATGTGTCATCAGAGGGGGAAAGCCCCGCCCATTATTGACAATCTCTCCCTCATTAGCATAATACACTAGTTATCTGCCAATATGCTGACACATATACATTTGTGGCCCTGCCTACTTATGACAAGGGCACGATCTCATTTGAATTTAAAGAGACAGTCAGTTGTTGGGCTAAACCTTCACATACACACTCTAGGAACATCAGAGACTTATTTTATATCTAGGTCTAATAGGTCTCCTTTAAAGGGGCAGTGCACCCACAACTGAAAAGTGTTCACTTGTTCCACATGTCTTTGAGTTTCTTTGCTCTGTGGAACAAAATTAAGCACATATTTTGAAGAAATCTGTAAACTGTTGAGCATTTGCTTTTTAAGTATTTGCTTTTCATTGGTTACTGGTTTCAAAAGTGTATTTAAAGGGGACCTATTATTCAAAAATCACTTTTATAAGAGGTTTACACAGTTGTGTGGCAAAAACAACCAGCTTATAATGGTTAAAAATGATTCATTGTATTGTTTATAATCACACTTGATAAAAACAGTCTGCAGAAACACTTTGATTGACATTCTCCCTTTGTATGTGTCATCAGAGGGGGAAAGCCCCGCCCATTATTGACAATCTCTCCCTCATTAGCATAATACACTAGTTATCTGCCAATATGCTGACACATATACATTTGTGGCCCTGCCTACTTATGACAAGGGCACGATCTCATTTGAATTTAAAGAGACAGTCAGTTGTTGGGCTAAACCTTCACATACACACTCTAGGAACATCAGAGACTTATTTTATATCTAGGTCTAATAGGTCTCCTTTAAAGGGGCAGTGCACCCACAACTGAAAAGTGTTCACTTGTTCCACATGTCTTTGAGTTTCTTTGCTCTGTGGAACACAAAGGCATATATCTTGGAGATAAATGTAAACTGGAAGCCACTGGCTTTCTAAGTATTTGTTTTTCATTGGTTACTAGTTTCAAAAGTGTATTTAAAGGGGACCTATTATGCAAAATTCACTTTTATAAGGGGTTTACATATTTTTGTGGCAAATAAAACCAGCTTATAATGGTAAAAAATGATTCATTGCATTGTTTATAATCACCCTTGATAAAAACAGTCTGCAGAAACACTTTGATTGACATTCTCCCTTTGTATATGTCATTAGAGGGGGAAGGCCCTGCCGATTAGTGATGCTCTCTCCCTCATTAGCATAGGACGATAGTCTTGTTTTTGAATCTGCCACTATGCTGACACACAGGCATTTGTAGCTCCGCCCTCTTTTTAAAAGAGCAATCTAATTTGAATTTAAAGCGACAGTCAACAAACCGGCACAATTAGCACAAAAGCCTAAAACAAGCAGTTTAGAATAGTTATAAAACGTTATTTGTTGGGTATTGAGTGCTGAAACTTCACATAGACACTCTGGGGACATCAGAGGCTTGTTTTAGATCTTGTAAAAAGGGTCACAAATAGGTCTCCTTTAAAGGAGCAGTTCACCCACAACTGAAAACTGTTCACTTGCTCCACACATTTTTCAGTTTCTTTGTTCTGTTAAACACAATTAAGCACATATTTTGAAGAAATCTGTAAACTGGTAAGCATTTGCTTTTTAAGTATTTTCTTTTCAATGGTTACTGGTTTCTGACATTATTCCAAATATGTTCAGCACGAAACAGAAACTCATAAAGGTTTGGAACTACTTGGGGTTGAGTAAATAATGAGTAAATGTTTGTATTTGGGTGAGCTATCCCTTTAAATGCTGAAACAAAATGGCACAGTATGGATATATTTCTACTGACCACATGCTTTTGCTGCAGAACAGCTCTAATATGTCACATTTGCACTTGTAAGATTTTACCAACTGTAATATTTTGAAGTAGTTTGGGAATTGAGGGAATTCAATACATTTAGCGGAACTGTCAGAATAGAGAAAGTTACTGACAAGCAATGTTAGCCTTACTCCTATATAAATACACTGAGTAAGCCCCACCCAAAGAGTGAACGTTGACTGCGCACACATCAAACATCAAATGTGATTTGATTGGCTGTCACATTACACAGCATTTTATTTTCACTGTGCTGAGACAAATGATTTGAGTCGTCACATCTGGGTAGGACACGGTCTAATAGTCCAGGCAACCTGAGAATTAAGATTGCTTACCTTGGCTTATATTTTAGTTTTATTTGTTGTTGTTTTTTTCTCATTCCAACTTGGAATGAGTCTAAACCAATTTATTTTTCATAAAAAGTAATGTCAATCATGTTGTGGATGAGGAGATTCCCGCCAAAAATGTGTACTATGCTTTGAGTGTCCAGAAAAGAGCTATATAAATGTAAGGAATTATTATTATTCATTCATTTATTTTCTTTTTGGCTTTATTAATCCGGGGTTGCCACAGCGGAATGAACCGCCAACTTATCCATATGTTTTATGCAGAGGATGCCATTACAGCAACAACCCATCTCTGGGAAACATCCATACACACTCATACACTACAGACAATTTAACCCACTCAATTCACCTGTACCACATACCTTTGGATTGTGGGGGAAACCCGGAGCACCTAGAGGAAACCCACGCGAACACAGGGAGAACATGCAAACTCCACACAGAAATGACACATGACCCAGCCGAGGCTTGAACCAGCAACCTTAATGTGAGGCGACAGCACTACCTACTGTGCCACCTATTATTATTATTATTATTGTTATTATTATTATTATTATTATTATTATTGTTTTTATTATTATTATTATTATTACTCATTTGTTTATTTTCCTACAGCTAAGTCCCTTATTTATCAGGGGTCACCACAGCGTAATGAACCGCCAACTTATCCAGCATATGTTTTTCGCAGCGGATGCCCTTGCAGCCGCAACCCAGCACTGGGAAACACCCAAACAGTCTCACATTCACACTCATACACTACGGCCAGTTTTGAGCATGAGTTTGGCTGATTGTTAACACAAAAAGCATGTGCTTGTACGGGCATGACGTGGAGCCGATCTGTGACCAATCAGAGTCACTTGAGGGCGGGCCTTTCGGAGGAACTAGGAAATATGGCAGTCGTTTTCATGTTAGCAGAGTAGCTGTATATAATCAAAGTGACATTTATGAAAAAATAACGTTATTTCCTTCAAGTGAAACATGAGCACACATTGCTTTGCAACTTACTAACACAACCAAGCCTTAAAATTACATTCTGGACCACCCCTTTTAGTTTTTTTATTTTAGTTTTTTTAAATATATTTTTATTGAGCATTTTTAGTGCAAAAACATGTCAGAAAATTACATTGAGTAGAAAGATAGTATCTGTCATACATGTAATTTGAGTTCTTATCCCCACATGAAAAATAAAAATAGTAGTAAATAAAATTAAATTGTAATTAAATAAACAAATAAATAATACTAACTCTTATAATAATAAAAATAATAACGACACACACACACACACACACAAAAAAAACAATATTATATTACAAAAAGGCATTTCTTTTGTCCAGGCTGAGTCTAACAGACAAGATTTTAGTCTTAGAGACTTAGAGGTTCCTAAATAATCAAAGAAAGGATCCCAGGTCCGATAAAATAGAAAAGGTTCGTTCTTCATAGCTGTGGAGAAAGCCTCAAGTGGGATTATGCTGCAGACTGCAAGCAGCCATTGATTTAAACTGGGTGGTTCTTTATTAATCCACTTTACAAGGATACATTTCCGAGCAAAATAAATCAAAATATGTAGTAGGTCTCTATTCCGAAAATTATAAGGTATATCATCATTGAGGCCCAGTAAGCAGGTCTTTGCTCCCAGACAAAATGTACATTTAAAGATGGCGTCGAGCTGTAGTCTAATCAAGTCCCAAAACTGCTGTATATAAGGACAACTCCACATAGAAAGATCCAATAATTTACATTTTACACACAACTCAGACAGACCTGGATTCATTTTATGTCTAACATCAGGTGTAATAAACAGTCTATGTCAAATTTTTAATTGTCTTTCCCAAGCAGAGTTTGAGGCTAACACACCAGGAGGGTTGCTACATAGATCCAACCAGGAATCATTGACAATTACACTACCCAGATCAGCTTCCCATTTACACTTTAGTGAGTCAAGGTTCTCAGTTTTAACATTATCCTCCACAGTTTTTATTTCAAAATATATGGGATACTTGTATTTTTGTACAGCTTGTCTAAAATCTGTCAAATTCTACAAAACTGTAAACACACAGTTCTCCAGGATATTAAGAGCTCATGTTCCTTTCAGATCTCTGACCTGCCATTTACAAAAAGTCAACAGAGCCATAGCGGTGTCATGATTTAAACAAACTGTTGGAAAACCATTCGAAAAAGTGCCAGAGCTCTGGCAAAGACCCCAATTTCCACATTATCCAGACAAGGCGTTCCTTTAATGATCAAATAAACTGAAGACGACTGTGCTGAACATCCTCATCTGCCATGATGCAGAGTAGCA